TCAATCTGTACTCTGGTCAGCTAGCCTGCCTCCGCCACTGTGGCTGCGTGTGTGTGTCGCGTGCTAGCCCAGCCGAGGGTCTATCCAGCCAAGTGTGACATTACCCTTCCAGCTGCAGAATAGCCAGGCCATGGGTCCATCTTGGCCCACTCGTCTCCCCAAATGTTTTTCTCCCCTGCCATTTTGAGGAAATGGAGGTACAGAGAGAGGAAACTGGCTCTGGTCATCGAGGGAGGCTGCTGTGTACGCAGGGTACCGCACACACAGTAAACGCACTCTTCGTTCGCTCTGCTTTTGGGTGTCACAGTAACAATGCTGGATGAGCAACTTGAGGCACCAGCGAGATATTGTAATTGAATTTGCGAGAGGTACCTGGAGTCTGAGCTGGGGGCTGTACGTTAAGCTTTTTGAGCCCTCGAGATTGCATAGATGACCTGCCAGATGTGCATTGCCTGAGTCTACAGCACCTAGCTCCAGTCTGTTGCTCAGAGCTTTCACGTGCAGCAGCGTGGACCAGACAGAGGAGGTTTTGCAGCTACCGCTCAGGCCTCTGGGGGGCAGACATGCCCCTTCGAATCTTCCTGCCATTCTGCTGCTGCTGCTTGGCAAAGGGCCGGCTCAGGTGCCAGCCCCGTGGGCTGAGGGCCCAGGAAATGAAGGCTGTAGTGGAGGTTTCAGCAACAGAGAGGCCTCCCTTGCAGGCGCCTGTGGGGAGGCATGGAGTTGTTAGATCTCCCGCAGTTGCTAGGAAGCGGTGGTGGAGGAGACCGTCCTTCCTTTCAATAGCCTGCTGGAGGAAGGGGAGCCCCCACCCCTCCACAGTAGCTGGAGGTCAGCGGGGCCTCTCCCTTTGGTGCTTGCAGAGAGCCGGGCTGTGCTTTCCAGTCGGTCAGACGCCTGCCATGGCGAGGCTGATACCGTCTGAACCGTGGCGCTTTCGAGCCGGGCCCAGGACCGGCAAGCGGGTAGAAACCCCAGTAGCTGCAGAGACGAGCCGTCGCCCAGCTCCCTGCTGTGACGTCTGTCGCTAGAGAGAAGGCTTGGTCCTCCGGCTGGAGTTTCTCTAGCCCCGTTAGCAGGCGGTACCTTGCTCGGGGAGCAGTACTAAACCCTTCCCCTTCTCACCAGTTTCTCCTCCGGGCAGGGACATCCGTCTGATCGAGGTGACCGAGACCATCTGCAAGAGGCTGTTGGACTACAACCTGCACAAAGAGAGAACTGGCAGTAACAGGTTTGCGAAGGTTTGTCCCGTCGCTCATTCCCTCTCGCTGGAGCTCGCGTCCGATGCCCCCAGCCCATCTCCTCTAGGCCTGGCCTTGCCGAGAGCATTGAGGTTAGTGTCCTTGCTCTGTGCCTGAGACAGACTCCCAGGCATAGCTCCTGGTGGAAGTTACTTACCCCCCCCTTTCCCCCACATCCTTCAACTTGTTAGTTTAGTCTTCTCCCCATAGCGCCTCTGGGGAGTAGCATGCCACCGGGAAGCCGGGTGAGGGGGTGTCGCAGCCCTGTGCTCATGGCTGGGGGAGAGGGGTGCTCCGGATGGGCTGGGGCAGCCGCCTGGTGTAATGGGTGTGTGCTGTGAGTGGAATCTGCCTACGATCGGGGATTGGATGCGGACGAACGGTTCCATTTCCGAGCTTAGGCGGAGATCGCTGGTCCAGAAATGTGAAAGCTCAGGCTGGCCCGTCCTCCTGACTACCCCTTGTGCGTTTGCTCTGTGCCTGCCGGGGATCCCCTAGCCGGGGGGCAGGGACAGCTGTGAAGCCAGGACATTGGCAAGGCCTGTGCACAATGAGGCAGAGCGTCCCAGAGATCCAATCGGAGGTGGTGGAGTTTGCCTTTCCCCAAGGCGTTTCGCGCAGCACA